TTCCAGGCCCAAAAGTAGTGTCCTCGAGGGCCTAGCTGAGTTGTGTGCTCCCTCACAGAGCCCATGCTCAGGGAGCTGGCTTCTGCAGGGCTCTGCTCTCCCTGGTAGTCAGCAGCCACGACTGTAGGAAGTCCCACTGTCTGATGGGCAGTCTCCGAGCCCTTGTCCTGTTAACCTCCGACCTCTGTGGACCCTGGGGAAGCCCCCGCCCCCCAACAGCCAGCACAAAGCAGAGCAGAGCCCCAGGCACATACTGCCCCACTAGTATGCCACGCTGCTCTAAGGAAATACGTACAGAATTAGGATGGATACGTGTTTTTAAAAGATCACAGGAACCTCAATGCGGCTACCACACTGAGTGCTTTCCCCAATTTTGAGAGCAGCCTTCAGCGGAACTGTAAGCAGTATGGCAAAATATCTTTGATTAGGCTTATGAAGGAGACTGGGAGGCATTGAGTTTCCTTAGAAAGTGACTGTGGAAGGACTGAGTAACTACCCTGCACATAAAAAGACCAAACAGGACAGCCGGTTAGTGTTTCTGGAGGTGGAAGAACGTGACGAAGGGGAACCACAAGTAAAACCACTTTGATCAGCTGCAACAAGGAAATACCTTCTGGAAAGAGGTGCTGATCACTGAGGGATCCCAAGACCGACTTCCCTGAGCCAGCAGCAGTCAGAGACCTGGTGTCTGGAGTAACTCAGTAAAGCTCCTGCCTCTCCACGGTTATTCTAGCCCCTTCTAAGTAAATACTGGTTTTAGGCGGCAAATGGCATAGAGCGAACCACATTCGGCTCCATGGCCTCGAGTCTTTGGGACGCCCTCTCTGGACCTCACGTGACTTACGATGACAGAACTAGTAAGGACACAGGTTGGCTTGGTAACTGCTTTCAGGCATAACGCGTTAGGGTTTTCCCGATAAAGCAAGAAGTTAAGTATGGGAAGGTTCTTGGGCTCAGGTGCTGCTCAGGGAACTCGTAAAGTAATAAAATGATTTACCTGTTCCAATAAGCATTCCCGTTCATCAACAAGCTTTTTCAACCTAATATCTAAAGAAACCAGAAAGATAGAGGTTGAGGTGAATCCATGTAGTGCACCGTTCGGCAGCATGCTAAATCGAAGAGTGAGCATTCAGGTTAGTGAAACTAATGATGAAGGTATTATACACGTACCACAGCGAATGAGGCCACACACAGGGCTGGGGGAGGTGTCAGCCGAGGGGGGGTGGGTTGGGTCAACCTCCCACAACATGCTTATCTCGTCAGGGGCAGCATCCGGCTGCATGCAAACAGGCTAGTCTTCTACTTTGGGTTAGCATGCAAGGGCTCTAGGGCCAAACCACACTGCAACACAAGATCTCACAGGATTCATAGTTTAACATCATTAGCAAGGTACAAACACACGGAGCATCGCGATCGGTATCAACGGCATTTTCATTATCCTTGACTTCCCAAGGTCACTTGGGTCCCAGAAGTATGGATCTTTCTTTTTTTCTCAGAGACTCCCCAGTGCCACAGCTTTGACTATACGTTTACAAATCAGAGGTCTGCGGACAACACATCCGCTCCCCTGCTCGTGCAGAGCAGGTATTGTCCGGAGAGATGCAGTAACGCTGTGGGTTTCTGTCACCCCTGCCACCCAGACATGGAAGAGTGTCATACACAGAAGCCTTTCAAAATCCCCCGGACATTTCTCTGAAGGGGTGTCGAGTGATGTAATCTGTAGAGTACAGAGGAGGAAACCAAAGCCTGGGGAGGGGTGCAGTTTAGGGGTGTGAGCAAAACCCTACACCAGTTTAAAGGCCAAATCAGGACGATGTGGCGGTGACAGCGATGCTGATGGGTACTGCAGGGTCACGCTGTGCCAGGCATGCCCGAGCAGCTGCGCCTTCACCCACACAGCCCTACAGGTGCGCCCTGCTACTTTCTCTCTCTTCCACAGGCGAGGGCCCACACCTCTAACCACTGCACTCCTCTATTGCTCCAGATCTAAACCCAGACCCTGGAGTCGGAGCTGGACTCCTGGCCCGAGACTCTTTCTCCTGAGGGCACTGTGCTTTCACTCGGCGCAGCTTTGATTCACTGTGTGAGAAAGGAAATAAATAATCTGTATAAAATGCACTTGTTTTCATCTAAACAATCACCTATCTACATTCTCATCCAAGTTACATGCTTTCTCTAATTGTTCTTCCAAGCACCCTACGTTATTTTGAAAGGCACAACCACAAAATAAACTAAACCAGAAATGTCAAGCATAACAGAAGATAAATTTATGATCCTCTGGAGTTCCCTTTTAATTTACACAGTCAAATTGCTTCCAATAGTTTATTCTTTCTCTTCTACAAGCCCATCCAACACTGAAACATCAATGTCATAAGCCCAGCTCTTTATTCAATATTACTTTTTATTTTATCTTATATTCTCTATACAAAACCCGTAGGCATCCTAAGCAGCAATGGGTATGTCAGAAAGTGATCTTGAATCTCATCTATCTGTTGTACAGTTTTATTATTATAGCGCTTCTGTTATAGCCTGGATAGCAAGGACAAATAAATGTTAAGATATAAGAATGGAGCTGGCCAACAAACACAAAACAAGGGTAACATGGCTTTCACTCGTATGGGGAGAATATGAAAAACACAGAAGTGAAATTTTAAGGGAGAAAAGTTTTACAGCAGAACTGGAGAGGAAGTTTAAACTACATCGTTTGAAGGGAATGGAAAAAAAGAAAGTGAATTAATTGGCTAGGAAGAAAACGGGCACTACTTTTGTAGTTTTAAAAATCACCAAGTCTGATTTGTGGAGCGCACAGCCGCTCATCATCGAGATGCTGACTGCATTCCTTCCCCAGAGCGCTGCAGACCTACCATTGCCCTGCATTTAGAAAGTTCCACTGCTCATCGCCGGCCTATAATCCCCGATGATAAACAGACATAAACTATTCATTTAAGGCCACAATTGCAGTGCTGAGAAACAAGGCAGGGGAGAACATGAAGTCACAGTGTCTCAAATTTAGAGTTTTCTCTTATACGGAGAAGTCAAAATGAGTTGGCTATGAAAGGATTTCAATTTTTTAAAAGTCTGTTTTTTCTGGGTTAAATTCCAATAAACGTTCTGGAACACATGTCCAGAGGCCCGTGAAATGAGATGCACTTATAGTGGCGAGGTCTGAGGACAGTCCCCGGGGGCAGACAGCGCAAGCAGCTTTGAAATTCTCTGAGCCCCTGTTCTCCTTGGTCTTTCTTCTGGCCTGTACCTTGTCACCTCACCTGTCCAGGGACAGCAAGGTCAACCCCCAGCAACGACCCCAATCACTAAGGACTCCCTCTCTCTGCACTGCTTTACCTGGACCTGGCCCACAGCCCTGGAAGGCAGGTTCCAACTCCATTTTCAGAGATCAAATGAGACACAGTGCGGGTGAGTAGCTGGCTCCTAGTAACACACCCTCAGGAGCAGAATTTTCATTTTGTGGGTTAATTTCAGCCATCGTGGGCCTCGGGCTTCCTCTCCCAAGGCAGAGGAAAATCACCTCCTCTCCATATTGAAAAGATAGTGAGGGGGAAGCCGAGGTCTCTCAAGGAATCCACTCCCGCCTTGCACTGACTTTGTCTGATTATAATCCATGTGGGCTGTTTTCATCAACCCTGGGGCCAGCCTCCCACGCCAGGAGAGCACCTCCTTCCTGCAAAAGGCAGAAGAGGGACAGGGTTTTTCTCCTATTTACAGGGCCCAGGAGGTGTGTACAGATGGGTACTGTTTATGTCAGCCACCGCTGAAGCCGTTCACATCTTGAAAAATATATATGCAAAATATGTATATATGTAAATAATATGTGTAAAAATATATGTTAAATACTATGTAAATAATGTATAAAAAATATAAGGGGCATTGGATAGGGTAAAAGGGAAAGAGTGATGGGCGCCTGGGTGGCTCAGATGGGTAAGCGTCTGCCTTCGGCTCAGGTCATGATCTCAGGGTCCTGGGATCGAGTCCCGCATCGGGCTCCCTGCTCAGCTGGGAACCTGCTTCTCCTTCTGTCTCTCTCTCTGTCTCTGTCTCTTATGAATAAATAAATAAAATCTCTGAAAAGAAAAAAAGGGCAAGAGTGAGGGTTTTTTCTCCTGAAAGACAAAGTTTTCTCTCTATGATCATCACACTGATTAAGCATGTATTCTAACGTAATGTAGGCACGAACACCCCTTCCTTTTTTTCCGGAGCCTGGACATTTGGCACGAATCTCACTGCTGTGTTCCCCTGTTTCCATGGCATGCTGTTCAAGGTGGTCTCCCAGGAAAGGGGTCTACCGTAGAAAACAGGAACCCCAAACTGCATAAACCCCCAGGACTAGCACTCCAGGGTCCTAGTGGTAGTAGAGATTTTAATGTTCAGGTCATTAGGTTTTCCGTTTGCTGGAAACACTAAACATTAGTAGAAAGTACTCAGTGCAATACAACTCATTTCTAAAAACCCCTGAAAAACATGTTATTGCTTCTCCACCTTTGTATATTATCAAAGAACCTCTAATTCAAAATTTTGTTGCCTTAAACTATTTTCTACGTACACCCATGATTATAATTAATTATACTTTTGAAGGAAGCACACTTTATATACAGTGGCTATGTTCTGGTTTGGGGCTGGAAGACATCCCTGCTTTTTGATTAAGGTATCAGTGATGAACATTTTCCTCTGCTCCGTATGGGACTGAAACGCCAGGGGCCTTGGTTCCTCTGGGGATGTGGCTGATAGGGAGCCTTTCGATCCTCTTGAGTCTGAATCTTTTGACACTGCATCTTTCCAAATTGCCTTATATACCTCTGTGCCTTCTTCACCTGAACATCCCTAAGGTCCTACCCACTTCTTGGTAACTTGAGGGCCTTCCCGTGGACATCAGTTACTGCTACAGTGTCACGTCTCCCTTGGCGCAGGGTAACTGACGCTCACAGTGGAGCCTCTTAGATTATCAAGAAATGGCTTGGCTGTTTAGAATCCTTTTTTTTTTTTGCTCATTTCCTGATTCTCAGCTCTCCACTTCCACTAGAAGCTGGGTCCTTTCCGCTCGCCCACTGGCACAGTGCCTTCCAGATATGAAGTGATCAAAACGTCTATCACTTAAATGGATGCGTGAATAATCGAGACGCCTGGACAGCTGACATGAGGGGTATGAAGTGTGCCACAATGTCCTTAAATGCGCTGTTACGTAACAGAGGAAAAGACCTTAAAATGGGTTGATGATCTCACCGTCCAGTGAGCTGGGTTACTGAATCATCTCCCCAGGGGCCTCTGAAAGTAGGAATGAGAGCTCTTTCTGACGCCCATTCCAGGCTGAGTGCGCTCTGCTAAAGTTAGAGGCATCTGCTGCCCCCTTTCAAGGCCTGTGCAGCCCTCGGGCTGGAGACTCTCCAGCAAGCCTTGTAGTTTTCCACTCCCGGGGCCCAAGTGGGGAGGGTGGATCAGTCCCCTGCTTCAGGACGTTGACGTGGGAGGAGTCAATGCTTACTTGCCAATTTCACCACATCCTTCCCAGCACTCTCAGAACTGGCACACGTGAGCAGAGCACCAGAACGGGGAGCCTTCTTCGCTGGGGCTCCTCACCGGAACCACAGACCACAGGATATTCTATGAGGGAAGATCTTCCCAGTTCTCCCCAGGAGGGCACAACACTAGCCCCGGTCTAGGTACCAGGAGAGACGTCCATTCATTACTGACGAAGTAATGAGTCTTTCACACAACACAGACTGGGGATTAGCAGCCTGGAAGTAGGCGCTACTTTGAAGATAATAATTATGTAGAACCGTAGCCACAGCCGAAGTCAAGTAGCCCAAAGAGTGGAATCACAGGCTTGTGAAATGATAAAATGTTTTTATTTCAATTACATAATAACACTTATGCTCACCTCAAATTTTATTGAGGTTTTGGTCTTTTTTGCATTCAATTATACCTTGTAACAGTGACATGAATTCATATAATCTTATAAAGTGTCAACAGCATTCATAATGTACAGTCCTTTGTGATTTTAGTATTTTACAATTGTTTTTTTTATTCAACTTTACAACTATTTTAAAAAATGCTTCCTTGTATAGAAAATATGTATTTCCTTCAGGAAGACCAAATCAAGAATTTTCCAATAATATATTGAGATAAAACAAACGAAAATATTTATACCAAAATGCCAAAAGTGATCCAACTATTTAAAATATCCTGTTATAGTTCAATTAGCAGTTTGCACAAGAATGGTACCTTTTGTATTTTTCTTTCGAATATAAGACAAATAGAAAGAGGAGTAATTTAAGAGTTAAAAAAATAAATTTTAGAAATGGTCCCCCTGCACAAAAACTGCATTAGGAAGTGCAATTTCAATGTATGTCTCTTCCAGAAACAAATTAAAAAAATTTTTTTTGTATAAAATGACTCTGGTACATAATCAGCATGAAGTGAAGTCAAAATCTACAAAATAAATTCAGGTATCACCAACAATGAGATCAAAAGTATCGGTTTGAGATAAAATACTTATATATGAGGTAAAGGGAATTAAGATGTCCCAGTGCTTTAAGATACTTATTTCTTATCCCTAACATGATTAATTACTGTCCTAAGGTGCAAATCTTATCACTCAGTGATCTATACACTACTGGGTCATTTATCTCCTTTTAAAATGAAATACCGTATAGATTATAACGTACACATCAAAATCAAATATGAAAGGACATATATTTGAATGAAGACACATTAACTTAAATATCAACTATACTCACAAATCTCAGAATGCCATTTGGTCATTTCAATCGGGTGCTGGTGTATCTGGTCAAGAATATCAGCCTAAGGCAAATGCTAAAGAGCTTCATTCGGACTGTAAGCAGAAACACGCAGTGTCTGTTGTCTGACACGCCGGAATGTTCTCCATTAGGACTCCTACTGATTACAGGTGTGTCTTTCTTTCTAATCTGGGTGATAACCTTAATGAGGAAGAATACGTCTACAAGTAACAGTCTATAACTCAACGTGGTGGATAGCTCGGTAGCTGACTGTCCTACGGTGCATCTATCTCAATGTGGAACGTTTTAGGAACCTCACCCGTGGAGAGAGCAGACGAGCCTCTGGCAGCTGGGCTTCATGTGCGGTCCTTGGCCCCTGTCCACTTACGACATGGTACAGTCTTCCTTGCTTCTGCCCTTCTGGCTTTCGCCTCTCAGCTCGTCCCTGCCTTCTGAAGTGGAGGCTCCCAGCTGCCCTGTGGGTGCTAAGTCATCGTTTTCTATGGCCTTTTTGACTTCCTGACTGGGCCCCCCTGCCATCTCATGCTGCTCTGTACTTCCTGTTTGAGGGGCACCATCACCGTCCTTGAAGGGACCTTCAGTCGCCGGCAGGGCACCGCTGGGCACCACTCCACTCCCCGGTTCGGAAGGACCGCCGGGAGCGGCGCCGTCTTCTAGGACAGCCTCCTCTAAATCCTTATCACTGGCACTCGTGCCTGATGATGGGGTTGTGTCACCCCCCACGCCTAATGTGCCCCCACCAGCTGTTTCTCCCCCCGCCTCAGCGTTTACATCATCATCTTCTCGGTTAAGTTTTTTATCCAACCCAATTCTAGGATTTTCCGGACAATCAACGTTTTCACCGCTTCCTGCTACACTTTTCTCTTCTGGACTTTCAGTTACCTCATTTTGTGCTTCTACAACTGGTTTTTTGTCGGTAAGAGCTACTTGCTTGTCGTCCTTCACCTCACTTAAATCTGAGTTCTGAAATGTTAACTCTTTCTTAGCATCTTTAAGGGTTCCTACAGGCACCGGTGTTTTTTTCTTCTTGTTTTTCTTCTTGTTCTTTGTCTTCTTCTGTGACGAATCCAGTGCCTCTCCCTGTTGGTCACTCTTTTCTTCCTTGGGTTCTTTCACATCTAGGGGCTCGCTTTCGGCATCTGCCACAGCAGGACCTGTTGCTCCCTGCAAACTGCTTTCTGCCTCTGGCCAACGAGGAATGCTCTGCACTTCCGTCTGGGTTGGCTTCTCATCCCTCAACCCCCTTTCCTCCTCCTCCTCTTCGTCATTCTCCCCACCTACCGCTGTGCTCTGGGGCTCCTGGGGCTCAGCAGCTTCCTGTTTGGGGAGCTCTTTGTCTAGGTCCTGCCCTGCGCTTGGGTCCAGCTCCGCGGGGGCCTCTACAGCACGCTTTTCATCAGGACTCACGCTGTCATCGCTGCAGGTTGGAGGGCCGGAGGCTTCTGTGCCCACCTGCTCCCCGAGCCCCGTTAGCCCTGCCTCCACCAAGTCCTCTGTGGGGCTCCCACCTTGCTCCCCAGTGTCTGCGCTGCCCAGCCCTCCGACTTCAGATGGTTGCAGAGAGGCAGATTCTTGACATGGCTTTGTGCTACCCTCTCCCAAGTGGGTTTTCAAGTCTTCCTGGTTTTCTGCAGGTTCTTTACGGTGGTTTTTGATATCCAAGGCATCGTAAGTGTCCTGCCCAGTCCCAGGACCTGGGATTTCACCATCACGCAAACATTCAGACTGCTCAAGGGAAGCCCCAGTCCTATCATCTGGTGTGTTTATGACCTCATTGGACTCAACCTGCTCTGTATTTTCAAGGAAGGAAGCGTTCTCTAGGATCTGGTTTTGAGCCTGCTCCTCATTTGTGGCATCTGCTAATACTCCTAGGGAGGGGGCACTGTCTTCAGAGGCTTTCTGGTCCTTGGCATTTCCACCAGGATGGAACACCTCTGTGTCCATACACTCCTGTGCGGGGTCCTCTTTGTGCTGTTCTTGCTCAGTATTCTGCAAGATTTCTTTTTTCCCCACATTCTCCACAATTTCACTTTTCACCTCCACTTCACTGGCTCTTCCTAAAAGACCATTGAGAAAATTGAAGGGACCCCATGATGTGGTGACCACTTAACATACATTACAGCGTAAACACACGTTCTCTCTCCCACCCGACCCCATTCCTAAGGAGAGAGAGTCATCAAAGAATCACACGGAACAGAAGCCTTGGCCAGGTCTGTGCGGCAAATCAGTCATTAAATCAGCCAGCATTCGATGCGCGGAGGCCACCGCCACCATCTCGAAGGTGAGAGTGGCTGCTGGTGCCGTCCGGTGTGAACTGGTTTTCAAAAGTGCAGTTAAGTTTTAACAAATAGAGCTCTGGATCAGGCAGCCAAACAATCCAAAATAATGGGTTTAGGAACGACCTAAAGTTCGTTTCTAAATGCGCAGCTGGACAACTCACACTTCTTTGCCTGTCAAACTGCACTGTGCGTCACATAGGCCTAAAACCACCTTCAAGTAATTTTTAAAAGAAACCTTCACTCCACCTTAAGAAACTCAGCCTCAAGGTCAATCTCAAGGAAGATACTAACCTGAAATAGCTCATGTGAGGTGAAAAGAAATCCACCCCCCACCATCTAATCACTGTGTTCCTGAGGAAGTAGCCTGGTGCCCTAAACTCCTCTGCTCCATCCCCACAGGGTCTGGCGGGAGGGCCAGCAGGTGGCAACTGCTTACGATCAAGATGACCACTTCATCAATAATAAGTTATTCATCCATTGAAGAAGTACAAACTAAAAACATGCTACGACTTTGGAATGGAGGCTTATGTTTTAGATTCTCCAAACAAACCAACCGCCGGCATATCAGATGCCATGTTGTTGAAAGTCAAAGCCTGATAATTTTATTACACCGTGGTCTCCACAGGTGGGTGCACTTACCCCAGAGAAAATGGGAGAAGTAGCAGGGCTTCTAGTTAGTTTTGCTTCACCCTTTAAAGATGTCTGTCAGTGAGTATGTTTTATAACACACACTTTGTATTGATGAATAGCATGTGTATATATAAATTAAAAATACACGTATTGGAAAGCTCCCACAATTCTTTACTGATAGGGATATGCGATCAAAAAACATTTGGACACCACTTACGAAAGTGATATTTCTGGTTCTTTAAGGGTTGGTTTCGTAACGGTTAACAAAGATTTATAAAACGTATGTTTGAACAAGAGCAACATGATCAAATTCCTAGCTGCTCACACAGTTTATATACAGGTAGGATGAAAACCAATCAATTTATCTTCTTTCAGTAACTTTTAAGCAATTGAAAGCGCTGTGTCCCTTTAGGAATCATCGAGATAATGAGGTACATCTCCCTATGAAGCAAGTCCTGAGAAGCTGCGGCCTACAGGTTTCTACATTTCCATAAATAAAAAAAAAATAAGGTGAAAGCTTCTATATGGAAATTAAGAGACACGGGGTCTGAGCACATTCCAGCCTCACTGTAGAAAGCAGGAATGCAATGGGTAATGAGGGACAAGGGAGCCTTACCTGCCGGCTGCAACTCCAGGCTGCACTCCGGATTCAGAAGGCTTATTTTATCCAAAAGCCAAATATTACGACCAATATTAATCGGTGAATCTTTTCAGATATTTGCAAATTGTATCAAGTATTCTTACAATTTACTGGATTCCCCAATTTATATTCCTCCCGAAGCAAAAACTGACGGACAAAGGAACATCACCTCTGACGAAGGGGAAGGCACCCCTTCCACCCTGCCCACACTCCCCACCGGGGGCTGCCTGTCCGCCTCGCCCCTCCCCCCCCCAGCCCAGGGCCACTGAGCGGTAGCCTGAGAATGGCACCCAAGACATACTCTGTCACAAGCCATCTTCTGTCCACGGCACCTCACACCCTCAAAACACTTCATGGTGTGTAGGATGTGCAGTGCTGGCTTCGAACCAGGGTTAACTATCTTACTTTACAGCCTCTGCTATTCTGATCTTTGGAAATGTCCGTAACGGAGTAAGTTAGGAAGCCATCCTCGGCCCGTGGCTGAGGAGAACCAACTAGCACTGTCAGAACTGTCCCTTAATTTCTGAGACAATTCTCCCTGCATTCACAGTTTCACGTGGTGGCTTTGAGAAGCAAAAGAAATGTATTCCTTAGCCATCGGTGGGGAGCACTGCACAGAGATGCACACCAGACAACACGCGTGGGTGATCACATCGTGTGGCAAGGGCACTCCCCAGAAGTGGCAGGACGCATGGCATGCTGTGTGAGTGTTAATTGATCAGTGATGATTACGTCAATTCTAATAATGCACGGAGGGTGAATTGATGCGGACTAGAGGATGAAAAGACCCAAAGGAAGGTGAGCACTTACCTAGCGTCCCATCCCCTGCCGTCCTGAGGGCGTTTAACTCTTCTTTCGTTATCCTGGAAGGACGCTGGTGTCCGACGTCATTTAGAGTGTCTGAAGTCTCTCCATTGGTAGCTAGCTCTGAATTTAGGACTATTCCATGTTTCTGGGAACAAAAACAGACTCGTAATACTGACTGATATTAGGTTAAACTCTATTTTATTAATAATAATGAAAAGGAAGTTATTTTTCCTGAAGTTGGAACAGAATCAGAGAAGTGGTAGACACCACACTCGTAAGTGTCCTCTCAACACACACAAATCTGGGATGTCTTCCTCCACGCTCCAATCCACATCTCAATGGGCTGGTGATGAGACACTATTAACATGCACCCTTTTTAACTGGAGGTAAGGGCCTGCAGGCCGCCACACGGTACTGCAGCAGGCAAATCACTGCAAAGTGACCTCACTTTTAAAACCCTGGTTGCATTCTTTAAAAAGAGAGACAGAGATAAAGAAAGAGATACATGTGTGTTCTGGAAGGAATAAACACAACTTATGTTACAGAAGGAATACAGAAGTGGCTAGAATGTTTGGTATCTTCAAGGGAAATATAACTCGTCCTCACTACACTGTGAAACACTCTAGAAACAGTCACACTTCACATGGATCACGGACTCACTTGCTACCCCCGTGCTTGCAGCTCTCTCCTTGAGCTTGGAGGAGGCCCCGGCGCCAGGCTCACAGCCCTGGGAGAAGCGGTGATAGGAACCTCTCCCCCTGGTTGACTGTTCTGGCCTTGACCCCTGACAATGAGCAGCTGACCCTGATCTGTTTCCACTGACGATCTCAGAATCTGCCATGGCCATACCCCCTCTTTTCAACACTGTCTCCTACGATGTTGATAACCCACCCCGAGCCCGTTTTCCTTCACTCGGTGTCCAGCCAGCAGCTGAAGACCCCTTGACATGGTGCAAACAGGACGTGGAACGTTCCTCAACCCACGGGGTCTCAAAGTCTAATTAGTGTGAGCCTCCCCCACGCCACCAACCAGTTGGAGAAGTCCTTAAATTTGAGCCTTTAATATAAAGAAACATACACATTGTCTAACTTGGAGTAATGTCCTGGAGAATTTATCAATGGGTATGAGAAAAAAATGTAAGCAGTATATAAAAAATTCTTGGAAATCAGAGTTGCTTTCAAGATCAGATATGCTTGTGAACATCTAAAGGAACGGGCAGACCCGACCAAACCTACGTTCATTCATTTCACGGGTCTCTTCGGTGTCAGTTAACCGAAGGTTTGAATTGATTAACAGAACTCAAATCAATGAACACAACTAATTAACACCAGTACACACACACAGTCATTCCTGAGAACATGGATTTTTTTTTTTTTTTTTAAACTATGCTTTGGCTTCATACCTTTAATTCCTCTTGCAGTATGACTACTTCTTCTCTAAGATCATCTCGGTCACTCCTTATGGAATCAAAGAACTCTTTCTGCCTCTCTAAAGCCTGAGTGTGAGCAGAGCAAAGAGAGAGAGAAGTTTGCGTGGGTGAGCAGGTGACTGAAACAAGAACAAGGAGGATTCCACTACGCAGAACACTGCCAGAGTTAAAGCACTGTGTAGATGCGCTTCAAGGCACAGACAAGAGGCAAATACTAAGCTTCTCATGAATTTGTGGCAGCCAAGGAACGCTCCCTCCTGCCGCCTTAAAGGCACTAAGAGGCCGCTGTATGTGCACAGCTTTCTAGCGCGGTGAGAGAATGGACACAAGCCATGCACCCATTCAAATGAGAGAGAAACGCGGAATAAGAAGAAATGCGTAAGAAACCCCAAGTGATGACTTAGACTATTTTTCTACATTGATTCTTGGTGTTCGCTGTCGCAGACGAACATAAAGTAGTCCTAAGGCAAACACACGTGCGCACGCTTGCCAAGTCCTAAATGAGTGTGGATGGGGATACAGAAGGGAAAACCAGCACAGCCTCCCGCGGCACAAGCACGACGCTGGGCCCCAACACCTGGAGATCCGCATCAGAGCGGTGCGGGACGGGCTGCTGTGTTTTGGAAGCCATTTGTCACTGGGAAGCATGGCGGTTGCTCTACGTGAGCTCCGGTCTTCCTACTCGTCACTCCTAAAGGCAGGTGGGCTGTGGTTGCTTTTCTTGTTAAAGGAGAGGGGCCTGGGGTCTCCACGGGGACAGGTCAAGGGCGGAACACACGGGCACAGCCCCTGCCACCTTGCAGCTTCCTCAAATGCCTTCAAGAAAGGCCCAGGCCACACCGGACAGAGAATCCGAGAGGCCCGAGCCTCCCCAAGTGCCACCTGCCCTAGGGTGCCTCCCTCACTCCTTGTAGCTCAGGCTGCTGCTGGCCCGCTCGGTGCAGGCTCAGAACCCAGTTAGCGTCGACAAGGGGCCCACACCATGTCGGAAGTGCACTTCAAGTTCAGAGCTACTGTCAGCTTGAGTAAACGAGTGTATTCTCCGTATTACCAGTTCTGTGTCACGTGGGGGTGCATGCACGCTCACACAAGCGTTTCTGCATCTGCTAGTGGACTGCCCCTTTGAACAGTTTCACAGACTCGGGAGTCCTACCCCTATCTTCTTGTCTTTCCACTCTATTGTTTCCTGAAGATCAGAAATCTCCCTGATATAACTCGCCTGCTTCTGCTGTAGCTGTCGGATTTCCTGAGGAATAGGAACAGATAGAAAGAAAGCAGATAAAGGGTTAAGCAGGAAGACAAAGTGCAGGGCTCGATAATCCAAGAGCGGTGACTGCCGGTGAGCCCACAGACGCGCGTGGAGGAGGTACCAGCCCCACTTCCTGCGTTAGCCCGGATTCGCCTCTCAACGCCGGAACCTCTTCCTTGGCCTTAGCCTCCAGCGGCCAGAGAAGCAGGCAGAGACCCTGCCTGGGGCACATTCTTGCTTTCAGGCACTAGTTCAAGTTCTGATCAAGTTCAAAAGTTAGAACCAACCCTGTACCAGTTTCCTACTGCTAAGGTCACAAGGTGCCATTAAGTCAGTGGCTTAAAAACAACGCGAATTTATTCTCTTATAGTTCTGGAACTCAGAAGTCCAAAATGAGTCAATGAGTCTGATGCACTAGAATCAAGGTGTGGGCAGGTCTGGATTCTCTTCTGGAAGCTCTAGGGGAGAACCCATGCCCTCCCCGCCTTTTTTTTTTTTTTGGCTTCCAGAAGCCACCGCATTCTTTGGCTCTTGGCCCCTTCCTCACGTGGGACCAGCCTTGCTACCCCCCTCCCCACCACCGGACCTCCTCCTGCTACCTCTCTCGCCTCCCAGCATAAGGACCCTGTGATGACAGTGGGCCCCCAGATAATTTAGGGTCACTCCCCATCACAAGGCCCTTAACTGCACCACACCTGCAATGTCCCTTCTGGTGTGTAAGGTGCCACATCCGAGGTCCTGGGGATTGGGACCTGGACATCTCAGGGGGCCATCATTCTGTCGGCCATGCCTCCCAAAACAAACACAAAGCGCCCCAAAGAATGAGAATCTTCACCAATGAAAGGAACCATTTTCCTTAAGTGAGGCATGGAGAATTAGCCTAAACTCTCAATTTTCGAGGAAATGGTTAACTTTCGTAATGAACTCCCCAAATACTCCTAAGACCAGAAGGAAGAGCAAACGAGGGAGCACTACTCACCTCCAGCAGCTCTTCCCGCTGCTTCAAGGCCTCCTTCACTTCGGCAAACTGGAACTGCAGGATGCTGTGGGCATGCTTTTCCCTCTCAAACTCCTGCACGGGAGGGAAAGAACACGGACATGGTGACGGAACCACACTTTCTTTCAAGTTCACGTCCCCACGACTTACGCTGACCTTGGAACAAACTACCTATTACCACATCATCACAATTTTCAAGGCCTTTTTAGCAACACGAGCCCACTCCTCTGGACTCTCTGATTTCCTGTAAACTTCCCTGTGGACCTGATGCATCAGACAGGTGCTCCCTGAATCTTTCCAGGACGGCAGGGCCTGGCGGGGTGGGGAGGGGGGCCCTCTCCATGGGGGCCGTCTGTGCGGGGGGCCTGGAGGAGGCAGCTCTGTGAAGGACTTCGGTTGGAACTAGCCCTGATCTTGAAATCTGACAATGAATACTCTTTAGGATAAAAAGGGAGGTAAATATGGTCTCCTTTGGTAAGCTTATCTTATTAAGTGGATGGCCAACCCTGTACCCCGGCGCCCCCACTCCAGGGACAAAAGCACAGTACTGCACAATCCATGAGGATGGTCTGGTACCCAGCCGTTTAGGACAGCAGGGTATATACCTGCCAGGTCAGTCAGGGGGTTAACCTGGAAGGGACGTGACCTTCGCTTCTCACCCTGGCCTCACCTGCTCACCCACTTTCTGAAGTTCGAGGGTGACCGGTCCCCGCCTAGCTGTGACAAGGGCCTGCCTATCGGGCTCTGCTTGGTCCCTGTTCCCCCGCTTGGGACAACATTCCAGGATCATCCAAATTCTCTGGAATTAGACTTGGGGGTTCTTGGTCTACTTCCTGATGCCTGATTGAGGACATCCTAGGGGTGTTTAGGATGCATCAGAGTACCCTCCCCACAGTGGGGTCCACAGTGAGCATCTGCTCCTATGACTGTATAACCTACATCATCATCAGGTCTCATGGGAAACTCCTCCTTTGTTTCAGAGTTTAGTTCTCAGGAACTTCATAAATAAAATTCTTCTTTAGCTCCTAAATTCTATAGCCATCAAAGAAGGAGACCTTTGAGTTGTTAATGGCACCTTGGTTTTAACCCTTGGGATTTAGGGGATAAAGCCCGTTTAAAAAAAAAAAAAGTGACACAAATTAGGTTTTCTGTTTACCTCAGCAACTCTGAAAAATTGGACAATATCCTAGGGTTTGACAGACCAACTAATTCCTAAAACTGAAAAACAAGTATTCCTTGCTTTATATCCCACAAAGAACATCTAATTAGTCTTTTGTCATTGATTTCAACATAGGCTCAGACTTCTTGCTGCTATCATAACAACTTAATTTAGCTTTAATGAAGGTATGTAACTCTTAAATGGAATAAAATAAATGAATATATTTGTAACTGGCTATCTCTCGATGCTGTTAAAAGATAACAAAATAAAAATCCAGAAATGTATCTTAACAGGAAATTATTTTTTTTAAAAAAGATATTATTAAGTCATCTCTACACCCAACGTGGGGCTCAAGTGTATGACTCCGAGATCAAGAGTTGCCTGGTCTACTGGCTGAGCCAGCCGGGTGCTCCAACAGGAAAATCCTGAAGCACCCAATTACGTCCATCCAAACATGTTGGTTCTTTGTAGGCTTGGTTTTTCCTGGTTACAACTTTATCTTACATACAAAACACAATGTTCTACCAGTAAAACTGTCTCCAGTTTACAGAGTGAAATTGTGCATGTCAATATTTCAAAGCCCTCTACAAAGAGCATGGCATTTTTATTCACAGATGTTCGGGTTTCCTGGACAAGTGGAGAACTGGTATCTACACACAGACACGCACACACATACACCCCCCCCCCACAGACACGCCGTATGCCACACACACACCCCACAGACACGCCGTATGCCACACCCCCCCAGACACGCCATATGCCACACACACACCCCACAGACACGCCGTATGCCACACACACACGCACACACATACACACCCCCAGACATGCCGTATGCCACACACACACACCCCCACAGACACGCCGTATGCCACACACACACACACACCCAGACACGCCATATGCCACACACACACGCACACCAGACATGTCGTAT